AGAGCTCATAGAGTTCAGAAAAGACTTTTTTAATAGAAAAATTAAAACTAAACGAAATACGGTTTTGAAATTTAAAGCATTTGACCTTTAGATAGAAATTAGAGCTGCTGTTAAGATTTGATAAATCTTATGAATTCTCAAATATATATATATATATGGATTTTTTTTCAAAAAAAAGACTATATTGACCAAGCAAGCAATTATTAAATGAAAAATGTGCAGGGAAGAACTCGTTCATGTGGTTCGGCCCAATACCGAGAGTGATCATAATGAACCCAGAACATATAAGGGAGATATTTACAAAAATCTATGACTTCCAAAAGCCCAACTTAAATCCACTAGCCAGGTTACTAGTAAATGGACTAGCAAGCCATAATGGCGATAAATGGGCTAAACACAGAAGGCTTCTCAACCCAGCATTCCATCAAGAGAAATTGAAGGTAAATATTTTGACTTCTTTTTATTTCATTTACGAAAGTTTTTGCTAGTCCTTTATGTTTTAAGCCGATTTTAATTTGGTCTAAAACCTTTTATTTTTAATCCATTGAGACCCCAATGGCCAACCTCCAGTAGTTTTATTTGTTTTAGTTAGAATTGTGCTCATTTGGATTTCTTTAAATTATATATGAGTTATATAATAAGAAATAATTCTCTCTACGTTTAAATTTTTTTTTCAATTGTGTCAAATTGTTAGATCATTAACTTAGAACATTAACATTTTACTAATTTTAAGATGTGCTAAAAAATTTGAGTCAATAGTAAATTTTTGCCTCCAATTTTAGTTGGTAAATGAATGAAGTTGTTCCACTTAAAGAGATAACCATGAATCATGTCAATTTCCTTAACAAGCTGATTTTCATGTTTATTTTCACAGCACATGCTACCTGCATTTTATCAAAGTTGCAATGAAATGATTGTCAAGTGGGAGAAACTGGTATCCCAAGAGGGATCCAGCGAGTTAGATGTTTGGCCTCATCTTTCTGGTTTGACAAGTGATGCTATTTCCCGAACGGCATTCGGAAGTAGCTATGAGGAAGGAAAAAAAATTTTCCAACTACAAGATGAGCTAGCACAATTGATAATACAAGGAATACAGTCAATTTACATTCCAGGATTGAGGTAATCTAAATTGAGTGGAGAAAAATATCTTAACAAACACATTCTTTCTTCCATTTCGTGTGGCTAACACAATTACTTGTTTGGTTATATGAAGGTTTCTTCCAACTAAGAGAAACAAGAGGATAAAGGAAGCTGAAAGACAAATACGAGCCTCACTCAAAGGTATAATTGACAAGAGATTGAATGCAATGAAAGATGGTAAGGCTGCTAATGATGATCTACTAGGCATACTTTTAGAGTCAAATTTAAGTGAAATTAAAGGGCTTGGTGGAGATGTCGGAATGACCATGGACGATGTGATTGAAGAGTGTAAATTGTTCTACTTTGCTGGACAAGAGACCACCTCGGTTTTACTTGAATGGACAATGGTTTTATTGTCACAATATCCAGACTGGCAAGTTCGTGCAAGAGAAGAAGTTTTAGCTGTGTTTGGTGACAACGAACCAAATTTTGATGGCTTGAATCACCTAAAAATTGTAAGTATCATCGATATTTTATTTTATCTTATAGGTACATTTCTAATTTAATGTATCAAAAGATATTTTTTAGTATATTAGAAAGTTAGATACTTGAGTTGAAAGTATAGAGGTTTATGTTAATGAGTATTAATTTAGCCAAGTTTTCGTTAGTAATGTATCAAAAGATATGATCAAGTTAAATCTTTAAAAAAAATTTAAAAAGGCCTATTTAAGTCTTGCCAAAGAATTAATAAGCAACATTTTGAATGCTTAATTCATTTCTAATGGAAGGCTTATAATTTTACAGGTAGCAATGATTTTGTATGAGGTTCTTAGATTGTATCCACCTGCGCTTAATCTTTCTCGGACTATTCACAAAGAAACAAAGCTTGGAAACTTGACACTACGAGCCGGGGTTGAGGTGGTATTGCCAACAGCTCTTGTACACCATGATCCTGAACTTTGGGGAGATGATGTCAAGGAGTTCAAGCCAGAAAGGTTTGCCGAAGGAATTTCCAAAGTAACGAAGAATCAGCTCTCATATTTCCCCTTTGCATGGGGTTCTAGGATATGCATTGGGCAGAATTTCGCTTTGATTGAGGTAAAAATGGCTATGGCGATGATACTAAAACGCTTCTGGTTTGAGCTTTCACCATCTTATGCACATGCTCCTTTCCCTGTCGTCACTCTTCGCGCTCAGCATGGTGTTCATGTGATATTGCATAAACTCTAGATTGAAAACTTTGCTTTAATGGTTCTCATCAAATTGGTTTGATGAAATACGGTGCTATAAGAATTATACTTATATAATACTTTTAGCACCATATACTCGTAGCACTATGTTGGTACTGAAAAAAATAAAGACGTCTTAGCAATTTCAATAATACTGGCATTTGAACATAAATTTCACTTCTCTTTGCGTGTTTCGTTGCCACCATCAGATATCTTAAATTGACCCGTAAGGCTTCATTTAAGAAAGCTTTCGGTGATTTAGTTTTCAATTTTTATGCGTTTTTATTATTTTAAAAATATATAAAACATTAATTAAAAAATTAAACATATTAAATATATTTTATATATTTTTTAAGATATTAATAAATTTTATATTTTTAAAGACTTAAAAAAAATAAAAAACCTATAACAACAGCTGCATGGAATACTGTAAATCAAGTTCTCTTGTTATGATTCAAAAGGATTCTGCATTTTTTCCCCTAAAAACCTGAAACAACTCTAAGAAAAAAATTTTAATAAAATGAAAAAACAGTGAAGAAAAAATTCTGGAAAAAATGATATGAAAACTTTCGAGAAACAGGGGGGAAAGGGGAGAAATTTAGGGCAGTTTCCCTGAATTTCAAACATGAGAGGAAAACATGTAAAACCCTTGAGGCTGCCCCAAGAAATCAGCTCTAGGCCGGGTGAAATAGAGATCTCGCATCCTTATTGCTAAGCAATAACTCATTTGGAACGGCCGCCATGAACATGGTAGAAAATAAAATTAAAGTAAAAAATGTTTATTTACTTTAAAAAATAAAAAATAACAATTAATTTAAAATAAATTAAAAAAATAATTATTATTATTTTAAAACAATATTTTATATTTTGATACAACCTAAACAATGAGACACTTCTCTCATATTATCAACTTAGGTAAAACTACAAGTTGAATCCTAAAAAGTAATTTTTATTTTTATTTTTTAACATGAGAAAATTTGGAGAAAAAAAATTAATCTTACAAAGATTAAAACCAAGGTTTTATCCTTAATAAATCTACACTCTATCCAACATAACTATTGCTGTGGGTACGAAGCCTAGAAGGAATTGAATTGAGAAAAAGGACTATAATTGAATCCTTGTAGGTGGCAAAGGATTTTATAAAATGAAAGATAATAGAAGATGAAAAACCTAATCTATTTATATTTATAGATAGTTTTCGCTAGCTATATATAGGACACAAGAGGAGTGCTAGGCGCACACGCCTTTTGCACTCTCCGACCAACACTTTCACT